ATCAGATTTTCTTGTTATTGCCACTATTTTGAGTCAAACTAGTGACGTCACAACTCAATATATAGAAAGTGCGATAACTTGGGAATGAGATGAGATACAAACAAATTGTAAACGTCATTCGTCATTATTTTCAAAGTACCTTTTAATAAGACAATAAAAATCAAGGCAAAAGTTTCGTTTCATAAGCACTTTAATGACACTTAATAAGTTTTTATTTTACAAGTACTGTACAGTACAACAACAGTAATATGTTCTATTAGCAATTCGATTTCAATTCGCGGGGGCCTGAAATCTTTTATGCTTAAGAATTATAAAGTGGATTTCTTAGGAAATTCCAAGGTTGCGTTTCACTTCCGAGTAACAGGCGGAGGTATGCAGTCTCTGAGTGCCCTCTAGTTAATAATGGGAGGGGGGCGGTAGGTGAGAAAAGGGGGGGAGGCTTCAACTATTTTTGCCTGAATTGGGGGCAGCCTCAAACAGAAAAATATGTGACAACAGTACATTTTTTAATACTTTCCCACCTATTTTCAAAATATTTAAACCTTTTTTAGCTCCTATAATCGTAGTTTCCACAGTTTATTAAGCTTAAGCATACTGTATGCAGTTCACCATAGGAATAAACAACAACCTTTTTGAATACCGTTCCCAGTATTTGTCCCATTACTTATTTTACATCAAAAAATGTAGTGGGGGGGGGCCTAAGTTTTCTAGATGAAGGTGGGGGTGTCTTGAAAATAAAGGTCTTGCAATTGGGGGTAGCTCTAAAAAATTTCAATATTTGGTATTTATCACCTACTGGCCCCCCTCTCATTTAATTAATGACCGATCCCTAACTGTAAGAGGCTGTGAACAAATAGATTTCGTTCACCGGTCGCGTACTTGTTCCTGACCGGAAAGTTTGGAAATTGCGTGCCGGAGATTTCGAAAATTTAATAGTAAATATATAGAAAGTATCAAAATTGCGGGCCAGAGATATCAGCTGCACGATACAACCCAGACTGGAAAGTTTGGAAATTGCACGCCGGAGATTTCGAAAATTTAATAGTAAATATATAGAAAGCATCAAAATTGCGCGCCGGAGATATCCGCCGCGCGATACAAACTTTCCACACTGGGATACAACCGTTCCACACTGGGACTTGTTCCGCAAATTGCTTCAACCCCCTCCCCTCTAGCTTGTCCTGATTATTTTGCACTCATAGATTCAAGGCTGACCCCCTCTTCCCATCGCAGAACAAATCCGCAATCTGTGGACAAAATGTCAAAATCTACTTGTCGACGGCCCCTAAATATATAGTTCAATACAAAATTTGAAGAAAAACATGTCGGCAAGAACCTACAAGCTATTTTAACGCCGCCATACAGAAATGTACTTACTAGCCTTTTTTCCCTTTCTATCTACCTGACTAAAATTCATTTTGAGATATTTGAATAAAGTGCAACCATAAACTCACCCTCAAAAGCAATATTTTCTTCTATATGCGCTGAATAAATCGCTTACTAAATATGAAAAGAGAATAAAGTCCTTCTTGCACCACCATTGCAAACAAGGGGAAAGTGTTTCCCAGTGGGTCTTTCCCAACCTCAGGGACTTTCCAAAATGTTTTATAATTGTAACTTTTACCGTTTACTCGAAAAATATTTTGGAACTTTGGTCTCGCCCGCGCTCTTTCGCCCAGCGGCTCCGCTCGTGTTTCACGATCCGCCATGTAAAAAGACAACTAAAGTCTTTGCGGAGGAGAGGGGTTCGTAATACCGCCCTGCATACCGATCAGGGCCTATCAGAGAAATTCGGGGGCCCGGGGCAAATTTTTTCCGGACTTTAAAAAAAAAGTTAAAAATCCCTGTTACAACATGGCTAGAACCCTTTTTTTTGGAAGTTAGGCCAATGAAAATTGATATCATGTTTCTCGTCCCCGCCCGCATGGGATTTATCTGCCGCACGAAAATTTTTCATTATTCATTATTATCATCTCCAGATCAAAGTCTTATTGGGGCATTCCGCAAGCGCAACTCAAATTGTATCTTTCTAAAGATATTACTTGCCAGAATGCCTCTATTTTTCATGTCAGCCCTGATATGTAAAGAAATATACTGTAGTCTGCATGTAGACTGTAGTGTAGGACGTATTAAATTAAAATGAATTATACACCAATTTTTAATACTTCAGATTTTTATGGGGGTTTTTACTGGGTCAAGGAAATTATTGACAAGCAGAATTCAAATACAAAAAATAATGAAAAATGAAAAAATCCCGCTCCAAATTTTTGAAAATTGTGGACGAGAAACATGATATCAATTTTCATTGGCCTTATATATGTTTATTTATAGCTCCCCCAGCCGAGGGCAGCAAATTGTCATTCATTAGAAAACAAAATCTGTATAACATGCAGCAACGGTGTTTGCATGCTTTCCGTGATTTATTTTGTGTAGACTACACCAGTTTTGCCAAGATTAAAATATTGTTCAGATCACAAAAGTTCAGATATATTTTTTGTCCTCACCCAAGTTATGAAGACAATTACATACTGCTGCACGGTGATTACAAAGTTGTAATTTACATTTTATGTCGGAACAAATGTCATGTCTTCTTTTCTTCAGAAAATCACGCGTTATCCCTATGCTATGGTATTCACAATCTCGTCTTTAATTTGATGAACACCAAGATATTTAACAATAAGCAACAGTCTTTACAACCTCGCAAGCGAGGGTCTTTTACTTCCGCACGGTGCTGCAGCGCCGTGCGGAAGTAAAAGACCCTGTCTTGCGAGGTTGCAGTCTTTACTGTATGCGTTAGCATGATTCCAGTCATTTAATTAATTGCACACCACTGAAAAATCCCAAAAGGCGAAGAAACTAGAATCCTTACTCCTTAGCTTAAAACAAGTTGCTTTATCATTTTGAAATGAAGTTCTTTCCAATTCCGTACAGTATGACGACTGAAGATTATTGTTACTATAAGTTTTCATCATTCATCAAAACGAACTACAACGATACAAGCTATTTATACAGCATTCTTATCACTATTTATTATTACTTTATTTAACAATTTGTTAGCAACCCCTGAATCGAATTCTATCATTATTTTTCATTTGAACCTGGAATAGGGCATTTAGTATTTGCAATTTAAAGGTATATTTTCCACTCAATGTATGAATACTGAATGTCTAAATATTTCCCAGTATAAATTCCCTCATGACTTGGGGAGCTGCAGAATCAAAGCCAACCATATCAAACATCCCAGGATCCTCTGGATCAGCAATGGTGAAACCATTTGAAGTCATGCCCACGACAATCAGCTTGGCATCATGGATACCAGAGTGCTCGCGGTACTGTTTCAGAGCTTCACTCGGGTGCACGCTACCAAACCCTATCTCGCAGTCTGTGTACACGACAAATACATCGATCTTCATGTTATTTCTCTGTGCGTAAATCATTGGTTGAGCACAGTCTGTGCTGCTCGTGGTGATCTGGAAGATAACATAAACAACTGAAAACTACTATACACACTCTATAGTACGATTACCCTGGGTTACAGAGGCTTCAGAGAGTTTCCTAGCTATGGGGTGAAATGTATTCATCTTTCCCTTCTCTAAAACCCTTTAGAGATTTTTCTTGATAAAAATGTTCATCTAACCATTAAAAAGTCGAACTCCGAACGATTCACTTCAATATCTGAGTTGTTTCATTTTTCATTTACCCAACTTTTTTCTAACTCAAAAATTTGTTCACGAAACCCTTTTCTCTTCGGTGCCACCCCCCCCCCCCGGCCATAAATAATGACTGGTTCCTTACAGGTGAACTACCTCAAGCGTCCCTCTTCTGAGATCCTAAGGGGCCATTCACAAAGGATGTCCGAGCCGAGGGGGGGAGGGGGGTTTGGAATATCAGGACAAACTCGGACACAGGGGGGGAGGGGGGGGGTTAGCAATCCGGATGTCCGAAATTTAAAAAAAATCAAAAACAAATTTCTTTTTCCCTCTATTTTGAGCAGTCCTTCCCATTGTGAAATTGGCATTTTGACTATGCGGTTAACACTAGATTTTGTTTTAATTAGTAATTTATATGTTTTTGTGTTCACATTTACAGTTATAAAAAAGTTCTAAAAGTAAAAAAGTTTTTTACTCTTGATATATACAAGGTTGCGTGAGTTTTTGCGAGGCATGGCGGATGTCCGGGGGGGGGTTCACTAATTCGGACAATCCCGGACAAGGGGGGGAGGGGGGGTCTGAAAATCCATCATTTGGCCGGACATCCTTTGTGAATGGCCCCTAAGTTGATTGCAATTTTCCTCATCACCTTTGCAAATTTGAAAAACTCCCTTGCAATTCCCTTGCGGGAATTTGCAATGTTCCTATCGGATGTTGCGGTTTTCCAATGCAGAGAAACTTCCTTTCAAATTTCCTAACTTCCTGTTTTAATTTCCTGATTTCCTGTTTTGTTCTGAGCGTTATCATTGGTGGATTATTTTTGTTAGCCAATTACAATGCTGTAAAATAGTAGCTTTTCGATACATTCTTGAATTGGTGCGCAAGTTCTCCGTTCTTAAGTCTAATGTGTCTGTCAAAGTATTCCACGCTGGTAAAAGAACAATAAGTTAGAAACTTGTAACAGGAAGTCAAAAACTTCTAATAGGAATTGAGGAAAATTTAATTGGCTTTTAGAAACATTGCAAATTCCGTCAAGGGTTTGCAAGGGAGTTTTTCACATTTGCAAAGGTAATGCTGAAAATTGCAATCAAGTTAGGAACTCAAGAAAGAGGAACGCTTGACGTAGTTTACCTGTAACTATCTGAGGAAACTAATTTGCATGTTTCACCATAGTCTTTCAAAACATGGCCGGCTTGGAAACTCCGCTAAAGTCTTTGTTCTATCTTTTTGTTCGCGTTTATGCAGTTTTGTGCACGGTGCACGGTCAATGAACACATTGTATTTCAGTATAATGAACGAATCATCCAATAGCAACGTTTCAGCTCAGTCATTCAACCATGCTATTTAAATAGTACATAAACCTAAAACAAAGGATGTGCACGGTGTAAGGTACGGCTCAACCAGCCTAGTCCCAGTCGTTCTGAAGCAAGCGCGAGAAAAAACGTGGATGTGGTACAAGACTGGGACCTAGGTGTGACGTCACCGTTAAAGATGCTTCAGAACGCCTAGCAGATTTCAGCATTTTTAATATGGCGGAAAATTTATATATGCAAATAACCTTGTAAATACGACAATGTTCGTTGATCATGTTCGATGTCTACATAACCATATTCAAACTGTATCAATTAAAAATATATATATACAAATTTACAATACTGATTCTGAGCAATGGTCGTATAATCGTTGATGTTATTCATAAACTCGCAAGCCTGTGATCAACACTAGACCATACTGGTATACACAACTACGCTTTCTACTTGACAGGTTTAAGTATCTGAGGAGATTGGAAATATTTGCCTGACATGAATGTGTTGTCAAAACATTTTTAGTCGGAGACTTAATATGGCTTTATATTTTAGTAAACACGAGTCATATTTAGCCCGTTGTTCCATTATGACCGTATACGATTGAAACGTAACCTATTTCATTGTTCCGACAGCATTAGGGCAAAACTAATGACTTATAATTATAAACGCAAAGGAAATTTCCATAACATTTTCTATTTACAAATGCGGTATGCTTGGTAACCAGGCCAGGGACCACTTTTTTGAAATCAGGGACCATTTTACCGAAATCTGCTCGGCTCTCTCGCTGAAGCGTTCCGCACAGCACACCCAGGCATAAAACTTTTAAGACTTATTTAAATATATCAAAGCAGCGATTAGAGAGAGAGCCTGGGACTAGGCTGCGGCTCAACATAAAGTTTACTGACCATGTCTCGAAAGACTATGGTTCCAGACCTTGACAGAGTGACAGACACATTAGACTTAAGTAAGTACGGAGAACTTGCGCTCCTTCAAGAATGTATTGAAAAGCTATACCGGCTATTTTACAGCATCCGAAGATTCACGAAATGTTAAAACTATCTGTCCAAGATGCAATAGAGCGAGAGCTTTAACCATCTCGACAAACTGTTGTTCTTAGTTTCATAGTTTATTAGTTACTTTGTATTGTTTATTTGTGAAATTGTCTTCTGGGCCTGCAGTAATTGGTCTCCTAGACTGTTACTGATACCAAACCATCATATAGTAGTGCTGTGCAAACTCCGGATTTTCATCTCCGGCTCCGGCTCCGGCCGAATTACAGCTCTGAGCTCCGGCTCCGGCCACATCATAAAATATTAAATAAATGTTTTACGATCAGAGAACATTTATTAATATTATTATGAATAACCCTTTTCGCGCTTCCTAATTATCAGATAACGTAACTCAGGAAACAAAAGAGTGAAAACACTTAACCACGCAGAAAATATCTATATGGAATCCAGCCTCGAAAAATCTTTGACACGAGGCATGACGCGAGGCATGACGCTAACACTCTCAGACTACACAGCGCAATTGTTCGCACGCAAACAAAGTACTCTGTCATTTTCAAAAGGTTGATATTTATTTGTTTTGTACTTTTTCGTTATCTACAAGGCATGAATGCACAGACTACAGTATGTAGCGCTAAGTCAGATGGCTTCATGAAAGCATGACGTTTGTAAGTTGCGATCGTATTACAGCTTTTCGACGCTGTTCCTGTGGGCTGTGGCAGTTTGAGTCTATGATGAATTCATTAACAGCAATTGGCAGTTTGCAGTAACTAACAATCGTTTGACATTTGTCTCATTTCATATTGTTTTCTTGTCATTTTGCCGGAGCCGGGAATACGTAACTGCGGCTCCGGCATACAAAATTCTGCTCCGGATCCGGCGTCGGAAAAACCGCCGGAGCTCCGGCTGAACTCCGGCGCACAGCACTATCATATAGTTCTCTATAGTTGTTGTGTGTTTGTGTGTGTATTTATGTTTCGGTTAGAGCTCAACCGACAACTATTTTCCATCCAGCAAACTGACCTGATGTCATTTTCGAAAGATGGAAGAGGTGTAAAATGGCTATGTAACTAACCCAAACCCAACCCCTACACTTTACGCAGGCTACTGTAACCCCTAACCACAATCCTAACTCTAACCCTAACCCTAACCTAAATAATAAAAAAAATCCAAAAAGAAACGACTTTAGAAAATCGATAAGGCGGTTTGCTGGATGGAAAATAGTGCTAACCGCTCGACAACCCGACTCCATAATTGCTTACCTATTTTATACATACCAATACCATTCATGTACATATACATATGAGCGAAATTTCAAAATAAAATTTAGAAAATTTAAAAACTGCAAATACCTCGGCTGTATTTGTTTTAGCCACCGAAGATGCTGCTTTCAACACTTCTTCCAAGCTCATGTTACTATTTATGTTCATAGGAACAATTGTCTGGCTGAAAGCGACGAATTGAGGATCATTTTCAGTCCGAGCTGTGACCATCGCCATTGCAGCTGCAGCAACACGAGGCTGAATACTGGGTGATCCCACACACCCACCACACTGCACATCCTGTTCTTTATCTGTCGGTTCTACATTCTAAAAATAAAATTGAGAACAGAAATGAGCAACTAGCAACTTTAATGTTTAAGGTTAATATACGGCCTAATGTTATCGTGGTGTAAATACAATGTCAGTTTGTACCATCGCCATTGCAGCAGAAGCAACATGAGGCTGAATACTGGGTGATCCGACACACCCACCACATTGCATGGATCCACTCACGTCCATGGCCAACATGTGTCGTTTACCTGTCGGTTCTACATTCTGAAATTGAGAACAGAAATGAACAATTAGCTGGCAACTTTTAATGTTTAACTTTAAGGTTAATAGACGGTCTAAATGTCGTCGTTCTAATTATAATTAAAATAATTTCTAGAAATAATTCTACAAATTATTTTGTTATCTGGATTGTAATTTAAAATACAATCCAGAGAACAAAATAATTTGTAGAATTATTCAATTAATGAAATGCCTTGATTAAAAATCTTTTATATATATATATATATATATATATATACATATACATATATATATATATATATATATATATATATATATATATATATATATATATATATATATATATATATATATATATATATATATATATATATATATATATATATATATATATATATATATATATATATAATAATAATAATAT